ATCTCCTCAGCCGCTATCATCGCCGGTCCATCAGGTCTAAGCGACCAATTACAAGTCAAACAATTATTTTCACTTGCTTTCAGTATAAATCGACCATTTGATTTGACATGCTGCAATATTTCTTAAACTAATTTTTTCGTTTGAACAGAGAACTTCTGATTTAATAGTTTCAAAAGCAAATTTCTCAGAAAATACAACCATCAGGCATCTTTTAAAGCCACTGCCTGCTTATTAAGACCATTAAAACTGAAGTCAGCAATTGCAAATGTGTCTTAATATATGCCCTTCCTCATCACTGGCCTTTGTCCATCCACTGTTGATGATGGCCTCTAGAGCATTTTGTTATGTACTTCTGTTCTGAACTTCTTCAGCTTATCTTGTCATCAACTTGGAGATTTTGCACATTTTCCTACGGGCTTCATTACTCTTTCTGAACTCAATCTAATATCTTTCTGGTTGAGCGACGGTTCGTTCTTTTCGCAACGTTTCCTAATCATTGCAACTTCAATTTTTTCGCTCCGCTATGGCATTGTATACTCTAGTCTGTGCTTTTAGCCATCCAGTCATCTTCCGATCCCTTGTTGTAATTCCCAACAGTCATATTTAGGTATTTGCGTAGGCTGAATTTCATGATTCGTTTTCGAGCTAACGATCGAAGCAGCGCTCCCATAGATTAGCACTGAGAACACATACCAACCGAGTACGTTCCATTTCAGTCATAAGGCACTTTCTCGGATATCAGCTTTTACAATCTTCCTAAGTGCTGAATTCCACTTTAACGTTTCTGTTAATTTTGTTAATTTTAATTTTGCGTTGTCGCTTCTCCGTTGCAGTGATGAACTGCCTCAGATAGATGTAGTTTTGCACTTCCTCAAGCATGAGTTCACTGAGTTCCACAGGTTGCGTTGAACATTCGTTAAACATGATCTAAGTCTTCGTCCGGTTCCTTTGGTCCTGACACTTTTCAGCTCTTGATTTCTTCTTTGGAGTTCTCCTGAGAGGTTCCTTGAGAGAATCTGCACGCAAATCGTTGCAAATAGTGCAAAATCTCTTTAGCAAGTTTAAGTTATCACTGTCTAATCAATTGATTATATTAAACTACCTCGTCCTAATGAATCACACTCACAAACAGTCAGCAATCTCAACCCTGCATATGGCTAATGATACCAAATTTATACTGTCAATACAGCCAATTAAAGTAACTTTCTTCATAGCGATACTGCAGCAGTGTACGATTGGTGGTAGTCGTTACGCTGCGTTGACACACCGCCTCGTTTCTGTTAGTTGAAAAGGGGAACTATTTAAACAAACTGCGACTCGTTGCTAATGCAGTGTACGTAAGGACTATTTAAGGGGGACTATTTAAGCAGGCCACGGCTCCATGGAATTTATGCTTCTGCTGTGCGTAGGGCGCAGGACCGCGTCTCGAACAAGGGCTAAACGAAAGTACGTTCAAACAAGAAACATTGCCACGATCCGTAGGAGAAATAGCGACAAAATGGAACCCCGATATTCTGGGGAGCTATCGATACCTCCGCTAAATATATTATAGTATATATCCATTGAGAAGCATAATTATTCATAAACTTTGCAAACGCCGATAGAACGTGTCAGCTGTGAAGAATATAGCACGAACACTATAAGAATGGAAAAGTACTGGACAAGGAGACTCTTTCACGAATGTTAAGAGACTGGTAACTGCAATAACAACAGGAAGTCGATGCTTTCTAAATTTATCGCTAGCAGCAATGTCGCTTGCCTGTTGCATTTACTAATTTGTATATACGAAATCAGCAATCTAGCCACGTTGCAGTACACTAGGGAGAACAGCATAAGAGCTTCAGCTAAGTTCCTTGCTTTTAGTTGAAGATCCCATTATGTTTGCTTACTATAATATTGGAGTCATTATTTTTGTGTTTCATATTTTGGCTGCAGCCAGCAATAAGGTCAGAACGCAAAGAGACTTGACGATCACCAACGACGTCTTACTCTCAGAATGAATATTCAATGTCTTTGCATGTCAATGGAGTAACGAAAGCAAGTAAAAATGTGAAAATACTTTGGGACAGATCAAACGAGTGAAATTCACGAGACTCGCTCAAGCAAGCGCAGTGTCAAGGCGCTTGACTAGTCTTTGGTGAAGAACCAAGAAAACAAGAGCTTCTCAATGATGCAAATCCTTCCACGTGCCTACCCCTCTGCGTAGCCATGATGCCAGATATTGACCAAAGGACCATTGTGACCCACATTAAAACCAGAAATAAAGCCTTAAAAGATTTTCTACGCAAGGAGGCTCTGCAAGTCTTGAACCGGATGAGTCACATCTGCATTGAACCAACCGTTTTCAAATGTGGGAATTTACTAAGTTGTCAGTTTTGACATTTGATCTAGACGCCAGAAAAAATAGGGACTCTTCTTAAAATTCCACATGCCAGGGGCGGGCAACGGGAAATCCGAACCACGCATAGATGCAATAAAATAAAGGGACCTAAAACTTTGTTCATAGTGCTTTTTCAAGCATCGAAGGCTGTTGCGTGAGCGAAAGTATTTCCAACTTCTCCTTCCCCCCCCCCTTTCAAAGAAAATCATCAAAATGATGTTGCCGGTTTATTCATTCATTCATTTTACATCGCCGCTTCTCCTTTCGGGTCGCGGAGGCAGACGCGTCAGACAGTGCTTCCAACGTTCTCGATCCTGTGATAGAGTCTGAGCTTCGACAAAAAACAAATGTAGTCTAGAACAGACTCCTTCCATATGTTTGCACCAAGTTAATCTCGGCCGTCCCCTGGGCCTTTTGCCGGTCGGATTTGCAAGGAACAGTTGTTTAGCGTTTCTTTCTGCAGGCATTCGCAACACATGCCCAAGCCATCGCAGCTGCGACTTCTCAACCTGGAGAAGCAAAGGCTGTAATCCAAGGCTCTTCCTGATGTCACCCTTCCGGACCATGTCGAGACACGCAAGGCCAGCCACTCGTCTAAGAAAGCCCATTTCAGCAGCTTGCACCCGGGTTCGAAGTTTGTCAGTGATGGTCAACGATTCATGACCGTAGGTAAGTATGGGGATAAAGATCG